GATGGTAAGGCACTGTAGGACAGAGCTAGAAGTACAGATATACGATGGAGATGCAAGGTGGAGAACATCAAGGACTGTGTAAAAAATAGAAGAGTAGAATGGAACGGTCATATAAGCTGAATGACAATATATATAGTAAAGACGGCGAGTAACGGTTACCACGAAAACGATGTAACGACAACTTACTGGAGGCACATCGAAAAACAGACAGTTATCTCTTGCTCCAGCGTATTCTAGTCATTTAGATCTTAGCTACTACCTTTTTATTTGCCGGCTAGTTTAAACCATCCATTCACTTGACTACCTGATATATATATATATATAATATATATATTATATATATATATATATATATTATATATTATATATATATATATATATATATATGTATAAACCTAGATTAATACTATTACAGGAATTAAACTCAACAGTATTACGGGTTGAACCGCGTCGGTTATCATTGCATTACTACAGTACTACTACTACTATGTATGCATTGGTTAGTGATCAGTGTATTAGTGTCTGGGGGCTCGGGAGACAGACCTCGGAAGCTCTGAAGAAGACATAAAAGAGGATGTCGAAAGCTCGGCGTAATGATAATCGACGCGGCTTAACCCGGAAGACTGTTGAGTTTAATATTAATTCCTGTATTAATCTTAGCTGTAGGTTTATAATATATATATATATATATATATATATATATATATATATATATATATATATATTATAATATTGCATGCTCATCTTATGTTTTCGCTTCTCTCAGTATCCAACAGACTCTTCCATGATGTTCGTCGGAGTATTTTCATCTCTGTTGTTTGTAGTAGTCTTCCCGTTTTAGATATATATATATATATATATATATATAAATATATATATATTATATATATATATATATACATCTAGTTCAATACTGCCACAACTCCAAAAATAAATTCCAATTTTGAGTTAAGGCTTTAAAAACGTTGCATATATGATACCCCATCTAATGCAATACAACCTTAACTGAAATAGTGTCTTAGATAAGTATAAAGTAAGATATTTCGGTATTACACTGTAGGGTTTTAAAATGCAATATGGCCATAACTAGGAGATGTGGCGATAATAAACTCCGCCACAATACAACCGATTTAATTCAATACGGCCACAACTGCGAAAATTGTTAGATTAGTGGTACGATTTTATCAGTTATCAATTATTTATGCACGAGGTATCCACGTTTTTAGTGTACAACTATTTGATTTAAAGTCTGAAAACAGTGTATAGTGATATTATTATTAACTTTATTATCAAACACGATGTCAAGGGCAAGAAAAATGCTTGGACTAGCTTTGCAAAGCTATCTTAAAGATGATGAGAGTCTGAGAGACAGTTTAGAGGTTTCTGAGGTTATGACTGACATCTCCTTTGTGTTGACGGAGGTTTGTATTTCAACAAAAATCACAGTGAGGTTTTACTTAATGTATGTAATTTTTTAGCTGACTCCGATTGCGTTACCCGTGCAATCAAATCATACCGCAAATACATTTGAAGATCAAGAAAATCTACATACAGACCCTCGCCAAGATGATTACATAGAGCAGGTATATTTTTATGAAACGAGAAACGGTTACTGGACCGGTGAAAAATAAAATAAGAGAACACATAAATTCTTTCCAAAGGGTAGAATCACATTATCTTAGAGCACAAACTACAAAGGAGTACATAGATGGTTCACTTACGTTAGCTCAAATGTATCGCTACTACAAACTACAGGAAGAGAGTGAAGGAAGGCCTGTGGCTAAAAAATGCACTTACGAGCATATTTTCAAAACTGAGTTTAACATAACTTTCTTTCAGCCAAAAAAAGATTCAGTGCGCAATTTGTGAATCATATAAAAATTCTTGAACAGCAAGCTACTCTTCATCAAACTTATAATAAACATATCCATAATAAAATTAGAAGCAGAGAAGAAAAAGCACAAGATCTAGCATGAGCAAAAGATGATTCTCAAGTATTGGTAGCTTGTTTTGATTTGCAGGCGATCCTTCCTACACCTTGTGGAGATGTTTCAAGCTTCTTCTATAAATGCCGCCTGAACTGCTTCAACTTTACAATTTTTCAGATATTGCAAAAGACTGGTTATTGTTACTTTTGGCACGAGGCTATTGCTAACCGCGGCTCAAACGAAATAGCTACGTGTCTGTTTGATTATCTTTCAAATCATTGTAATGATAAAGACGTTATATTTTATAGCGACAATTGTGTTGGGCAAAATAAAAATAAATTTATATTTACCATGTATCTCTATGCAATTGGAAAAATTAATGTTAAATTCAATCACACATAAATTTTTAACAGTGGGACATACCCAAATGAAGGGGACGCCATGCACGCAACTATTGAGAGGCAAAAGAAGAAAATACTTAAAACAGGTCCCATTTATGTTCCTGCACAATGACCTGTCATCATAAGATCTGCAAAAAAGAGGGAAATCCTTACAATGTAAAAGAAATGTCAACAGAAGACTTTTATGACTTTAAAGATCTCAATTCAAAAATTGGAGGAAATGTTACAAAGAATACAAAAGATGAAAAGGTAGTCTGGAATGATATCCAAGTTATTAAAGTTGTCAAAAGCAATCCTGGATCTTTCTTCTATAAAACAGATTATAATGCCGATGAGTTCAAAGAGGTGCATTTTAAAGCATCGACAAGGGGGCGTTCAGCAACTGTGGAAGCAGTAATCGATTCAAAAAAGGCGTACATAAAGCCTCCATCGATATCCGCAAAAAACAAAGCAATACCTTTTGGAACTGTGCAATAAAAACTTAATATTACCTGTTCATCACGATTTTTATAAGGTCTTGGTTAATAGTAATTAAAAAAAAAGTTCATACACACTTGTAATAATAATAATAAAAATATTTTTTGTAAGAACTAGTTGATTTTTTTTTATTATCTTGCCGCCGTATCTCCTATTTATCGTTTTATAAATGACTTTCTTCACAATGCAATATCGCCATAACTATCAAAATACAATTAACGTTTTATTTTTAATAAATTGTAATAAGATCCAGCGAATAACTGTATAATTTGCTAACTAAATTGTAATTTTGAAGCCAGTCATTCTAAAAATAAATTATTTACAAGGCATAACTCGTTTGCTACAGAACGTTTTGCTCATTTCTCGAAATTATTGTATTTTGGACTTGTGGCACTATTGAACTAGGTGTGCGATATTAATATATTATATATATATAATATATATATATATATATATATTTATATATATATATAATATATATATATATTCCTCTGGAGTTGCCTCGAACACTCGATTTTATTGCTTTCATGTCATCTAAATTCAGTGGAAAAGTTCTGTACTCGCCGTGTAAGGGATGACCCGCATATAAAAAGCGACTAATACAGTTTGGTGTCTGACTGTTGTAAAATATCAGTGGCAAATTAAAAAATAAGCTGTATAGCAAAATAAAAGAGCGCCTACAAAAACAAGATGCAAGAAAAAAGACTGAATCGCAGGTGCAATATTGGAGTTAATGAATGAAAGAAGAAAATTCAACAATGGGAATTCGATAGCATTATTCAAAAAAAGTAAGGAAATAGAGGACTTTTAAAACAAATATAAGAACTTCATTTTTTTTAAAGGGCTCAAAGAGCCTAGCCAAAGTAATAATAAGGAATACCTCAAACATACCGATAGAAAGAGAGGAAACATAATAAAAATTACGTCGATGAAACCGTAGAGATATTATTTCAAAACCAGAGAAGAAAATTCCGCTCCGAAGAAAAAGAAAACAGTTTATGCGGAGATGCTAATTACAAAAAGACCACAAAATATACATCACCTATTGGGAATCAATGGTAACGTGATAGAACAAGTAGAAAAATATCAGTACTTGGGAACTTTGATCAATGAAACCAATGATCATACTGTAGAAATAATCAGGCGAATAGAGATTGCCAGATCAGCATTTATACGAATAAAAAATTTATTTTAATTAATTTGAATTAAAAAAATGTAATTTAAAAAGAATCGAGGCCCTCGAACTCTGGTTATACCGCAGAGTATTGAAAATATCATGGATTGATAGAATTACAAATAAAGAAGTACTGGAGAGGGTTGGTAAAGAAACAGAACTAATCACCACTATACAAACCAGAAAACTGAAATACCTAGGCCACGTGATGAGGGGACCAAAATATGAAATTTTGAGACTCATAACACAGGGAAAGATTCAAGGAAGAAGATCTGTTGGCCGAAGGCAGAACTCATGGTTAAAGAATCTACGTGATTGGTATCAATGCAGATCGATTGATTTGTTTAGAGCAGCAAGTTCTAAAATAAAAATAGCCATTATGATTGCCAACCTCCGTAGGGAGACGGCACTCTAAGAAGTATTGGAGGAGTATGCAAAGAACGTTACACTTTATTTTGTAATCTTGAAGGCATCGATACAATTTATAACCATCGCAATTTTGTTAAGTTGCGGTGTCAACTCATGCTCAAAATTACCTCATATTGTCTGTACTATTGGTTAACCACTGGTTTTGATAATGTCTACCGCAGTTGTAAATGAAACGCCAGGAAAAAACAATTACGCAAGACGGCCTATAAATGCTGATAACAATGTACGTAAAGGTAACACAGGCTAATAACACCGACGGCAAAACCCTACACTCATTGAGAGATATGTCGGTTCATTATCTTGTTATACGGAGCTTTGCGTTGTTGATCGTATTGTTTTGAAAGGAATGTACGATTTGGTGTTGTTCAACTCATGACATAAAGGATCTAGTCTGCTCAAAGTCTGTAAATTGATCTGATCAACTTTATCTAATATATTATATTCTAAATAGTTGAACAAACTTAAATTGACCATGTTATTTTGCCTAAAGTTTGCTTGCATTTTTTTATTTTGTGGCTTTAACTACTAAACTTTTTCACACTTTCTAATGAAACATCATTTTTAATACCGTTATATTTTATGTTATTGTAGGTACCAGACAGAGGTGGCAGAACTTCCGAAATAGCTCCACCTCCTCCAGAAATGCCCTCGTGGCAACAAAGGTCGGCTGGCCCAGGTGGTCGTGGAGGCGGTAATATGAACCGAGGTGGTGGTAATTTTAACCGTGGAGGTGGTAATTTCAATCGAGGTGGCGGAAATAATTTCTCCCGCGGAGGGGGCGGAAATAATTATTCTAGAAGTGACAGCTTTTCTGGAGGAGGTGGTGGAAATTACCAATCAGAAGGTGGAAATTATCAATCGAATAGAGGAGGCTTTCAGTCGGGCGGCGGCAGAGGTCGCTATGATGATAACAAGGCTTTTGACAGCGCCGGTAGTTACAATTCATCAAGAGGAGGTGGTGGTGGAGGAGGAAGAAGTTACGACAGTTTTCAAGGTAAATACGGCAATTCTAGTTACGATAGCAGAATCTCAGGGGGAAATCAAAGCTATAGCAAAGACAGGCGGGATAGTTATAGCTCGCCCGATTATCAACAGTCAAAAAGAGCTAAAACTTATGATTCTTTTCAAGCCAATAAAACAACGTACGCCGATCAATACGTTCAAGAGCGTCAGCATAATCAACAGTACTATTCAAAGGATGATAGAGGTTATGGTAACGATAGAGGGCCTAGAGACGATAGGCGAGAATCTAGAGGTGGTCGTTCAAACTACCATAGAGGAGGAAGAGGTAGCTACAGATAAAAAATATTCAATGACTGTATATTATATTATGCCTCCGATTATATACTTGTAATTTTCATGTTTATTTGAATTAAGGATGATTATTTATAAAAAAAATTGATATAGTCAAAAATTATTTTTTTTTATTCACTAGGTAATTATATTTATTAGTTTGCATTATAATCGTTCTATAAAATAATTTTAAAAAAATTTACGATATTTACTTTATATGCTTTAAGAATTTTTGTAATGTTAATTTAGTAAATAAAATCTCGAAGCATTAAAAAAAGGACGAAATGTTTGTGTTTGGTATAATCCCGTAAAAGATAACTAAGTTTTCTGAATTTATAGAAATTCTTAAATGATGTTTATTTTACTGTACTGTATTCTACTTTACTGTAACAATTAAATACATTCAGATTGGTATTGCCGTTTTATTTTAAACTTCATACCTTTTGTACGTAAATAACCTGTTGCCTAAAAATACACTTACCAAAGGAGTAAGAAAAGTAAAGAGCACACTCTTGTAATGGTATTGTTAGGTTTATTTAACATATCCGGATTGATTTATATACACCGTTTATTTATAACTATTTATTTGTACAATTGCTTCTTAATATCTACAGTATTCGGTAAAATAAACAGCACCAACAGTAAACATTGTATTTATTTTTTAATTTACATGTTCAAAATACAAAATATGCACTGCTTCATAACGTTTTTGTAGATTATCTGATCTAAGATCTGATGGAGAACGCGTTCTGAATTTAAGGAGTTATTAAAGAATTAAAGTTATTGCGTTCTGAATTAAATGGAGTTTTAAAAAGACATAAAAGGATTTTGAGTCGTTACAATCGTTGACTTAAACCAATTTCATAGAAAATATGCATAATAATAATAAGGGAAAAATTACAAAAAATGAGATACACATACATGCACCGACTAAAGAGAAAAACAGAAATAAAGAAAGACTTCTATAATCAAATAGATACAGCATTTGAAAATATTCCCAAATACGATGTAAAAATAGTTTTGTTAACGCAAAAATAGGAAAAGAAGAAATATAAGTACACACCATAGGAAAAAATAGTCTGCATGAAGTAACGAACGAAAATGTTAACTTCTTAATAGATTTTAAAGAAAATATGATCATTATGAGCAAGTTCTTCCATCACAAAAGAATATACCAAGGAACATGGAGATGACCAGATGGGAAAACCGTAAACCAAATAGATCATGTGCTCGTCGAAAAAAAAAAATGAAAACATGTATAAATAACATACAGAAGGCAGGTGCAGACATAGATAATTTTATAGTTGCAGTACAAATGAAACAACTTATACTAGCAGCTGCTTGCGCTTTATAATAGAAATATAAAAGATGAATACAAAGAATGGTTCGATGAATATAAAATAGAACTAGATGAACAAAATAAATTAAGACTAAAGATGATGCAAGAAAAACACCAGAAAGAGAAGAAATTACAACGAACAAAGAAAACAAGTCAAAAGAATCATTAGATAAAAGAAAATACAATTAAGGTAAATTGAAATACCTAGAAGAAATAGAGAAATTAGAAACTTAAATCAAGGGTAAAACATGAGAAAAGGGGCTACCAAAGAAAACCTGTACACTACAAAAGCAAAAAATGGAAGGAATTTAGTAAGTGATGAGGAAATACTGAACAGATGGAAAGAATGGTTCGAAGAGGTTCTAAATGATATACTCTTAACAGAATATGAAGAACTGAAGGAAAATTTCGATCAAGAACGAACAGAGGAAAGACTGACGAATGAAAAAGAAATAATAGAGAAACTATAAATAAAAATAAGAGCCCAGGAAAGGATGAAGTAACTGCTGAAAAGTTGTTAAAAGAAATATGGGAACAATAACACATACTGAAAGAATGGATTGAAGCCACACAATTCACAAAAAAGGCGACAAAAATGTATACCATAATTAAAGGGAATAGCACTACTAAATGTTGCAAATAAAAAATAGATAATGACAGGAGAATATCAATGTGGATTCAGAAGAGGACACAGCACGAGTTCGAGTACCGGAAATTTACTGTGGCCTTATTCATCGGCTTTAAATAAGCTTTTGACAGAGTAAAACGGAAAGAAATATACAAGATACTACGTTAAGTGGGAATTAGTTAAAAATCAGTAAGAATGATAAGTGACATTAAAAAACAGAATAGGGTTACCATCAATGGAAAAGAAACAAATAAGATTGAAGTCAGTGAGGGAGTGCGGCAAAGGGACCCACTGGTATCACTGTTGGTCAGTATCATTCTTGAAATTGTCGTCAAACAAGTCGGAATTGTATAGAACGGATCAGGATAGGAATTGTATAAAAATGAAAACACTAATGCCTGGCATTCGCTGATGACATAGTACTGATAGTCAAAAGTAAACAATAATTAAAAGACTACTAAAAATACTAGAAGCGAAAGCGAGGAATGGACAGAACGAGAATACATACAAGGATAAAACCTGACAATAAACACAGAAGGAAAAATATATGAATTCGAAGAAGTAGAAAGATTCCAATATCTGAGAGCGACATTTATAAAACAGAAATCCAAGCGAGAACTATGGCTGGTAATCTTATCTTTATTTTAAACAATTTATTAAGAAGTAAAAGCATCTAAAAGTGCTAAGATAAGAATATTTAAGACAGTAATAAGACCTATAGTATATGCCAGTGAAATGGAGGTGATGAACAAATACGAGCAAGTCATGCTCAAAGTGTGGGAAAGAAAAGTTCTCAGGAAAATATTTAGAGAAACGCTATGAAATGAAATGTGGATAAAATATATATATATATATATATATATATATATATATATTATATATATATATATTATATATATATATAACTAGAGAGAATGTATCCTCCTCCTCATTTCTTAAGCCCTTGGCACTTTAAATATTATTGGCTTGCCGCGTCCATTGTCTGCGATCCTGTGCCATATGGACTGCTTCATGTAGGGATTTTCCCACCAGTCTTTATTTGGTCTGCTCATCGTGTTGGATATCTTCCTCTTGGTCTTCGGTCTTCTACCTTTTCTTCTACTGCCAATAGTCTATGTTTAATAGAGAATGTATGGAGAACCGAATATTGTAGGGATAATAAAATCACAAAGACTGAGATGGTTGTGACAAAAGGACGCCAAACACGAGTCTACCGAGAGAAATAGGGGGAAAGAAGAAAGATAGGCCGTAAACTAGGTAGAAGAAGGATGTTGAAAACGATGAGTACCTAACTTAAAAAAATTATAGAAGTCACACAGAAATACAATTTAAGACTACTGAAATCCAGTAAAAAAGCGATTATTTGCAAAATTCAAATAAAATTTTGGGCTATCCAAAAAATTAAATGAGCAATTGAATTTTGTGAAATTTCTAAATTTGAAATTATTTCATAAAGAGTTACTATGATTAATGATTAAATTTCTTTAGCTGTTAAGTTAGAATTCATCATTTTTTTTTATTGTGGCAAACTGTGCTATCAGATCTATATATTCATTGGGTGGTATTATAAATTAGTTTTTCTATGTATTTGAACACTCTTATCAGCAGGTAAGTAACTGTGCCCTGCCACCGGAAATACTTTTCCTTGATATTATTCTGATCTAACTTATAAAACCAGTATATGACCATACTGATTAAAATAGAATTCTTGTTCTGCCCACCACAACCATCACATATTAGCCATATAATAGTGGTGTATTTGAAGAGACCAAATCTAGTGAATTTAAGTAATGGGATACACAATACAAAGTTTCATTCGCACGTTTCAGATGCCCATTTTCTGTCCAAGTAGAAGCAGTTGTTACATTGTTTGTAGTTAAAGTAGACTTGAGTGCCCTGAAACTATAGTGAAATTGTTTAGATATAACTTGCGACTGTAGTATGTAGCCTGATCTAATAGCTTTGGCAAATGCTGATTTTTCTGACAATCAAATGCTAATATAAGAATACTTTCACTTTTCTCTTTCAGTAAGTCATAACAAGCGCCAGACCACAACTTGTGTACCCTTTTCTGAGTTATGAGGCTAGCCTTTTCTTGTTGGTCTTTCAACATCTTAATTTTTTCCTTAAGTTCTAAGCAAGTTTAGCATATCAACTCTAGGTGTACCAAAACCTAATTTATAATTACAATTACAAGCGGAATCTTCTTATATTCTAAATAGTCAACAACTTACATTTTAATGCATCAGTTGTGTTCACAAGTTGGAAACTCAGGGAAATGTTTAGAAGCATAGGTATCTGAAAACGATTTACATAGTATAATATTTCATTATGCTTTTAAATTACAAAAATAAACCACAAATCAATATCTATATCAATAGGTTCAACTGAAATTAAATAAGTTAATTTTCTCAACTTACAGGTTTCTTTTCTTCTTTATTTTTGCCTTTGCCTATTCATTTCGCAACAGTGTTTTCCTTGCCTTTTCCTACAGGAGTCACTTGAACATCTATTACAAATTGACGAAAACTATTACTGTAATACTGCTTATTTAAATAGAATAGAAAAGTAAATACAGTAGAGCGTCGATAATCCGAACGCAAAAAAATATAAAAATTAAAAAATATGATTGCGGACGGAAATTAAATTCTCGACTGCAAACGCACCTCGTTACGATATTGAAAGTTGGCAATACAAAAGAATACATACAACCCTAACTATTGAAAAAAAATTGAGATTTTAAATAGAGTGGAAATGGGAGAATCTGGAGCAAACCTGGCCAGGTTTTATGGAGTAGGGAAGGCGACAATAAAATTACCGATATTAATAACAAAAAAACGGGAATCTATATTACTTTATACGATTTGGATGATGGGGAAAACGCTAAAAACTTCACAAAACACAAAGTTGGAAGATTCTGTTTATTTATGGTTTACTCAGAGGCGTAGTTTTGGCGAACCAATATCTGGCCCACTCCTCTGTGAAAAAGCTCTGCAATTAAATAAAAAGCTGAACGGGCCCCACCGACAAAGCAAGTACCGGATGGTTAAAAAATTTTAAATGCTGCACAGCATTAGAGAACTTCAAATTGAAGGAGAAATTCTGTCGGGTGACAGTGCTACAGCAGAAGCATTAAAAATAAAATTTAACAAGCTCGTAATATCTCAAAATTATTCAAGAGATGACGTTTATAACGCAGACGAAACAGGTATAAATTGTCGTTCGCTCCCAAGCAAATCCCTCGCATCTCGTCGAGAGAAAAAAAGCTGGTTATAAAGTAAGCAAGGACAGAATTACAGCCATGATATGTTCAAAGTTCAAACGCAAGTGGCACGCATGCTCTTCCTTTACTGGTAATAGGCAAAAGCCAAAAACCGAGTTGCTTCAAAACCATCGAATGTCTTCCTGTCACATATAGAGGACAAAAA